TTTTTTTTTTTTTGAGACAGTCTCACTGTGTCACCATTGGTAGAGTGCTGTGGCATCACAGCTCACAGCAACCTCAAACTCTTGGGCTTACATGATTCTCTTGCCTCAGCCTCCCAAGTAGCTGGGACTACAGGTGCCCGCCACAATGCCTGGCTATTTTTGTTTTTGTTATTGTCCTTGCTGTTGTTGTTTAGCAGGCCCGTGAACCTGCCAACCCTGGTGTATGTGGCCAACGCCCTAACCACTGAGCTGAGGCTCTGAGAAAGGTTGTATTAGTTTTAATGGCTTTATTTTTCTAAGCCATACATTTGATCACATCAGAGACTTCTCATTGGCAATAGCCACATGCTTAAAATGGCCTTCAGGGTCCTCTATAATCTAATTTCACTCTATCCTTCCAGGTTCTTCTGATGTTTACATATATTTTATATTTCTACCACCTGAATTACTCACAGCTCCTTTCTCTTTACCTTGTTCCATTTTGGTGGTTACCTTCAAAGGAAAGGAGATAGCGTGAACAAAGGCACATGCACAAGAGGGTACAAGTTCTGAGTAGAAGATAAACGTGTTGAGTGTTGAAATATGTAGTTGCAGGTGGAATGTGGAAAGGAGATGAGGCAAAAGAGGTCTGAGAAGCCTCAAGCACCAGAGGTCAGGACCTAGACCTTAACATTTGTATCCCAAGTACAGTATTCCCTAAATGGTCATTGCTTGAGCTGGTGAGTGATTGGTTGATTTCTGATATGAATGACCTTGGTGGAATAAGGTGATCGTTGAAAGTTAAGTAACTGTATAGCCTACTGAAACATACATTTTTTTCCAAAAAATTATTATTTTTTGAGATAAGGTCTCACTCGGTTAACTTGCCTCAGCCTCCCAAGTAGCTAGGACTCCAGGCCCACATTTGGCTAATTTTTCTTTCTTGTAGAGATGGGGGCTTGATCTTGCTCAGGCTGGTCTTGAATTCCTGGCCTCAATCAATCTTCCCACCTCAATCTCCCAAAGTGCTAGGATTATAGTTGTGAGCCATAGTGCCTGGCAAAGGGATAATTTGACAGATACATTTATTGTGCTTGTTTTAGGAGGCATAGCAATGGGGTGAAAAGGTAAATCCCTGCCCTTGTGGAAATTCAGACAGAAGGAGTGTAAACAAAAGGTAAACTATATCAAAGATAAAATGTGTGGAGACAAATTAAGTAGAGGCAGGAGTGTGATTTCATTGTGGAGATCCGGGAAGGACTCACTGAAAAGGTGAAGTGTGACCACACGTACCCTTGAAGGAGACGAGGGAATGAGAATGGGACCATCTGGGAAACGTGGTTTTAAGTGCCAAGGCCCTGATGTGGGGCCCAGTGCCCGTTGTGACGGGAGGAAGGGAGAGAAAGAGCAGGTAGACGATGAGGCTACAGAAATAATGGGCTGGATTAAGAAAGGCCTTGGCGGTTTATAAAGATTTTACTTTTATTCTGAGGGAGAGGGGGAAGAAACTCTGGCAGTTTGAACAGAGGAGTGACATGATCTGTCTTAACACAACAGCTAGAATTATCTTTTGAAAACTTAAGAATAGGAGGACAAAGATGGAAGCAGGGAGACCAGTAAGGAGGCTATGGTAGTAATCTAGGCAAGAGACAGGGTCTTGGACCAGGTTGATAGCAGAGGAAAAGGGAAGAAGTAACTCCCTTCTGGATGTATTTTGAAAGTATAGTAAAGATGTTTTATCACAAATATCAAATAATTAGGTCTTTTATTTTTTTGAGACAGTCTCATTTCATCGTGGCGTCACAGCTCACAGCAAACTCTTGGGCTCAAGCAATTCTTTTGCCTCAGCCTCCCAAGTAGCTGGGACTACAGGCTCCCACCACAACGCCCAGCTATGTTTTAGAGATGGAGGTCTTGCACTTGCACGGGCTGGTGGTCTTGAACCTGTGAGCTCAGGCAATCCACCTGCCTCAGCCTCCCAGAGTGTTAGGATTATAGGCATGAGCCACCCTGCCCAACCTCCTTATTTTTAAGCTTTATAAAACTTAGCAGTAGAATTGTCTTTACCTTCTTCCCTAACCTTCTGACTTGAAAAATAAACAAGTTTAATAAAAAGAGTTAATTTGCATGTACCCTGATATAGTCCTTTGGCCCCAATTCAGTGAAATTTGCCACTGATAATTTCATAAGTAATGTAGTCTGATTGAGTTAGGCTGAAACTGTACTTTACCTCCAGTGTTTATAAAAATGTTGTCCCATTTTAGTTGAATTTGGTTTGGTTTCTTTTTGAAGTTTCTTTTTTTTTTTTTGAGACGGAGCCTCAAGCTATCCCCCCCGGGTAGAGTGCCATGGCATCACAGCTCATAGCAACCTCCAACTCCTGGGCTCAAGCGAGTCTCCTGCCTCAGCCTCCCAAGTAGCTGGGACCACAGGCACCCGCCACAATGCCCGGCCATTTTTTAGTTGCAGCCATCATTGTTGTTTGGCGGGCCCGGGCTGGGGATTCGAACCCGCCACCTTAGGTGTATGTGGCTGGTGCCTTAGCCGCTTGAGCCACAGGCGCTGAGCCTTTTTTTGAAGTTTCTATTAAAGGTATTTGACTTAGGGCAGTGCCTGTAACTCAGTGGGTAGGGCACCAGCCACATACACAGAGGCTGGTGGGTTCAAACCCGGCCTGGGCCTGCCAGACAACAATGTCAACTACAACAACAACAACAAAAATTGCCGGGCATTATGACAGGCGCCTGTGGTCCCAGCTACTTGGGAGGTTGGGGCAGGAGAATCGCTTGAGCCCAGGAGTTGGAGATTACTGTGAGCTGTGATGCCACGACAGCACTCTACCCAGGGCAACAGCTTGAGATTCTGTCCCCCCCCAAAAAAGATATGTGACTTAGATACAGATACTAAGATGTCAAGGCATCTTTTCTTGCTTAAAGTCACTCAGTATAGATCGTTGCCATCCACACAGCCTCACAAGACAGAACAATTCACAGTAACACTGTGGGTGGGAAGTGAATCCATTTTCTTTTGAGAATGTCTTTCCCCACTTTTCTACTTGCTATCTGACATTTTATGGTAGACAATTAATTCACACTGAGTACTAGTTATAGTCATTTCATATTCTGTTTCAAGAGTTAGTATATCAGGGAAAAAAATTACCTAACTTCTTTCAGATGTAAATTATAAAGGACTACATTATCAGTGTGTTCTAAGATTATTAGTTTGATATGTGTGAACATGGAATGAATACATGTTTAGTCCAGAATTAAAATAATTATGAAGTAGCTAAAGTTGAGTTCAGTCCTGGCATATGTGTGTGTATGATTGTATTTATACAGGAGAGGTTTTGATGTGTTAGCATTGATGAGTTATAGTGACTGATTTTCCATTTTAAACATTTGTAGGTTTTTTTTTTTTTTTTTTTAAAAACAGTGTCACTTTGTTGTCCTTGGTAGAGTACTCTGGTGTCATAGCTAACAGCAACCTCAAACTCTTGGGCTCAAGCGATACTCTTGTCTCAGCCTCCCACATAGCTGGGACTACAGGTGCCCACCACAACGCCCAGCTATTTTTAGAGATGGGGGGTCTCACTTTTGCTCAGGGTGATCTCCAACCTGTGAGCTCAGGAAATCTACCTGCCTTAGCCTCCCAGAGTGCTAGGATTACGGGCGTGACATTTGTAGGTTTTATTTATTTATTTATTTATTTAATTTTATTTTTTTTGAGACAGAGCCTCAAGCTGTCCCCCTGGGTAGAATGCAGTGGCATTACAGCTCACAGCAACCTCCAACTCCTGGGCTCAAGCGAGTCTCCTGCCTTAGCCTCCCAAGTAGCTAGGACCACAGGTGCTCGCCACAACACCCAGCTGTTTTTTGGTTGCAGCCATCATTGTTGTTTTTTTTTTTTTT